TTTTGCAGGCGTTTCATTACCCAAACTGGATAACGTTATCAATGCTACTCAAACACAAACATTGATAATCAATGTTTTTTTTAATCAATTATTATTGATCTATTTTAGCTTTGGGCCATGCAGATAATGTCACCGAGGAAGTGTTTTTAATCGGGGTGGGGTGGGTGGGTGGGTGGGCTATAATAATCTCTTCCAAATGTTTGGACATTCTCTCCAATTTTCGGAGGCTTGGAACAAACATTTCTCCCGTTCCTTCTCTTTTTATTTTGATTTATTGGGCTGTCCAGGAGTCCAGCCAACTTAACAGACTTCAGCCATCCCCGTTTCCTTCTCTGCTCCTTTCATCCCTAAGTGAGTTACTCATTGAGTGGCGTTGGGGTCCTCCCAGCCAAAGAGTTTACTGCAGGCTTAATTAGTTTAAAAGGTGTCCTTCCAGGCACCTTATAAAAATGACAAATGACTTTTGGTAATCTCAAATGGGGGAAGAAAAAAATAAAATAAACAGATGAGGAAGAAACATTTCTTAGGTATCTCAGTTTGGGGAAAGGTGTGTGCCTCTTTTTTAGGATAATTCAGGTATTCCTCCACTTCCAAACGTTGGTTTAGCGACACTCGAAGTTGCGATGACAACTGACCCTTGGTTGGGTTGGGGGAGTTTCCTTTACTCTGGCTTGGACCCCAGCTCCGTGCTGGTGTTTCACCATTTGCTCCTTTGTTATGGGATGAAGATCAGTATAATTTCACATTATGAAGTCAGCTATGCAAAGAATTAGACATTAGATGAATCTCGACATAACGGTGAGTTATATTTGAGGATGCCTTGTGACCCAATAAAGAAACTTTGTATGGAAGCCTTAGTGGAGTTGCCTGTCTGTCTTTATATTCAGCCAGTAATTAAAAGACAGAACAGTGAAAAGTGACTTTGGGGGAGCAGCTGCTCGGTGGGCGTTCAGCCTCAGTTCCTAATTTTAGGCTGAAGGGAGAAGGGAGAAGGGGAGCCAGCGGAGGAGGAGAGAACGGCTAGGTTGAAGTGCAGCTACAGTGGTCCCCAGCTTACGGCCACAATACGGTGCCAGATTATTTTCTCTTGGCTAAGCGAGATGTTTGTGAAGTGAGCTTTTGCTCCATGCTACGACCTTTCTGGCCATGGTTGTTAAGCGAATCCCAGCAGTTGATGAGTTAGTAACCCGGTTGTTAAGTGGATCGGGCTTCCCCGTGGACTCCGCTGGTTGGAGGGATCGCCAAAGGGGAATCGGTGGTGGGATTCAAATATTTTTACTACTGGTTCTGTGGGCATGGCTTGGTGGGCGTAGCATGGCTTGGTGGGCGTGGCTTGGTTTGGTGGGTGTGGCCGGGGAAGGTTACTGCAAAATCCCCCTTCCCTCCCCACCCCACTAACCTGCTTTCCAGCTCCATTCTCCTGTGCAGGGCAACCAAAGGAGACCCAGCCAATCAGCTGGGACTCGGGAGGTGGAGAATAGATGGGGGCGGGGCCAGTCAGAGGCGGGATTGGCGTTTTGTTCCTGTTTTACGACTTTTCTGGCCACCGTCGTTCAAGTGAATTGCCGGAGTAGTTAAATTAGCACCTTTGTGGCTTTCCCGTGTCAGGAGGTCGTAAAAGGGGACGACGTGGCCCCCAGGACACTGTGGCCATCCTAAATAGGAGTCAGTGGTCAAGCACCTGAGTGAAAATCATGTGACCATGGGTCATAAGTGTGAAAAATGGTCGTAAGTGTGAAAAATGGCTCTGAGTCACTTTTTTTCAGTTCCACTGTAACTTCAAACAGTCCCTAAGGGAATTGTCGTAAGTGGAGGACTACCTTACATTCTCTTTGCCAGCATACGACCTCTCTCTCTGTGTGTGTGTGTGTGTGTTTTAAACTTTCCCCCAAATTCTCTATTGCTCTATATACCTGCTGTTTCCTTCTAATGCTCTGGCACAGCAAGCCTATTGTTTACTCTTTAAGTTCCCAGTAATTATTTTGTGCGAGAAAACAATAAAAGCAAAAGTGTTCTTAAAAAAGAAAAAGGAAAAAAAAAAGAAAGAAAACAGAACGGAAAAAAAAAAACAGCCCGACTCTGGAGTTGGCATACGAGTAGGACCAGATTTTTAATTTTGCCGGGCAGGTTTTTACACCCTGGGATTGCACCCCCCAAAAAATTGGTGGCGTCAAATCATTATAATCTCCACCTAGCAATCTGAATTAAGTAACCCTTTGACCAGCAAAGCTCAAAAGGGAAATGAATGGGCTTGAGATCATATAGCCGTGGCTCGGCTCAGATGTTGGCAGAGGTGTGGGGCTGGAGGTTATGTGCGCAACTCTCCTGCTAATAACAGTTTTGCTGTATTGTTTTCTTGCACAAAATGCCAATGCAATCCTAAACTGCACGAACAGAGGGATACAATCGAGATCAAGGGAGGTACGAATACCACTCTATAAAGCCTTAGTAAGGCCACGCCTAGAATCCTGCATCCAGTTTTGGTCACCACACTATAAAAAGATGTTGAGACTCTAGAAAGAGTGCAGAGAAGAGCAACCAAGATGATGAGGGGACTGGAGGCTAAAATATACCATGAATGGTTGTGGGAACTGGGCCTGGCTAGTCTAGGGAAGAGAAGGACCAGGGGAGACAGGAGAGCATCTTCCAATATTTGAGGGGCTGCCATAGAGAGGAGGCCAGGGGTCAGACTCTTCTCCAAAGCTCCTGAAGGCAGGAGAAGAAGCAATGGATGGAAACTGATCAAGGAGAGATTCAACCTGGAAGTAAGGAGAAACTTTCTGACAGTGAGAACAATCAACTCATGGAACAGAAGTTGCCCTCGGAAGTTGTGAGAGCTTCATCCCTGGAAGCTTTCAAGAAGAGTCTGGACTGCCATCTGTCAGAAATGGAGTAGGGTCTCCTGTTTGGGTGGGGGTTGGATTAGATGACCTATAAGGTCCCTTCCAACTCTGATAATCTGTTTAATCTGTTTAATTCCCTCGTGATGGATGGGCAAGCTCTTAAAATGCTGTTGGACTCAGGAAGAAAAATTGATTTTGGAAATGTCTTTGCATCTCTTTGGTTGTGGAATTGTGCCTCCAATTTGTCCATTGATTTTGAACTTTGCAAACTATGGTAGGTTTCCTTCCTTCCTTCCTTCCTTCCTTCCTTCCTTCCTTCCTTCCTTC